CCGAGGTGCAATCGGCATTCCCGCCTCGGGAAGGGTGTCATCAAGCTCTTGGTGCGCACGCACCTTACCTACATCGCTAACGTACTGCTGTCTGCCCGAGGGAACTTGCAGAACGAACCCTGCATGCAGAGGCCTGGCCATTCGTCAATGGTCGACGACCGATTGACAATCTGAAGAAATCGTGGTGAGGCCCACCAGCAAATACATCGCGGTGGCGAGAATCCCGTACTCGGCCCCCTGGGGCGTCTGGGGCCAGGGGGCCCAATGAGGAGCAAATAACGCAGCCCCAAGGGAGCCATCGGGTTTCGAAACCACACCTCCAAAGCCAGCCCTGGACAGCTCACGGATCGGGTGTTTGTGGCTGGACCCGTCGATAAACAGGTCCCCAGAAAGCTCAAAACCTCCTGTACAGCGTGCCCCCCCCCCCCCCCTGGGTCATGATTTTCAAAAGTGACGCCGCTATCGGTCAGAGGTCGAGGCCAGTTGTCCCCTGGGTGCGGGAACAAGCCACGGGAGAAGGGCAGAACATCCTCGGTGGAGGTCGCCTCCGCGGCCTCGGTGCAGTATTTCCTGTGCATCTCCCCTAAAATATCGTCCCTCTCCTCCTGGCAACTCGTACAGAGCCACAGACGGTGCAGCAAAGAGTCCTCGGCCTCTCCGCAGCGCTCGCACAACGCACTGTCGACCTGGTGGCCGAGAGCCTGCGCGCGCACCAGCGTCTAGACGGCGTTGGTGGCAACGCTCCTGATACAGCCCCTCTGCAGAGGCGTGAACTTGGACGACGACGCTGCCGTCTTCATGATATCAAAACATACCCTGTCCTCGATCCCCTCCTTAATTGCCACATCCCTCTCCAAAGCACGAATAACAGCCTGCTTCAGCAGGTTCCCTACCAGCTTGGGCGCAGTGAGGGTGAGAGAGATCGAGTTACCGAAGTCGTCAACGAAAGCAGCGAACGACTCCATCGTCCAGCCAATCCTGGCTAATGAAAGGCGCAGTGCTGCCATGGGACCTGCTACTTTCCTCCAGGTGACCGAACGATATTGTCTGAATGCCGCCTCCCATCCAGTCCTGAGCTCATGCCATGAGATTGACTCTTCGAACAACCGAGTATGTCGAAACCAATCTCGTGGGCGTAACGAACAGCGACGCCCACCGATCCAAACCAAGCAGGATCATCCTCTGAAACCATCAGCCCCGACAGCGATCTCATGCCCGCCGATGGTTTAATCGTCGAAGCGGCCTTCTACGAACTTGCAACAATTCATGCTCCGGCATCCCCGAGACAGTGCAACCGTGCAAAACTCCTGGCGTAGGGCCACTCGCACAGATGCGCATAGTACGCTTGCCGATAAGCTTCCGCTTGCGCTGGAGCCGCTTGACCTTCCTCTTGAAAAGGGCCATGCGGACTCCGAAGTTTTTTGACCTACCTGCTTGTCACCTGGCCAGCCCTGCGGTAGCATCGACCCCTAGGTTCGTCGTGACCGCGAGGCGCGGCCCCGCAAGGGCCCCAAGATGTTCCTGGAGAGCCTTAGCTACCGCTGCGCTGGATGAGTTCCAAACGACGTTTAGTGCCTCGTGATGGTGCCCAGCCGCGAAGTAGGATCTCTCATGGCTCAGCTTTCACTGGAGTCCGTAAGGCTTGCGGGCCTTGCCCCAAAGCCTGTACAGACTGCAACAAAAACACCGATGGGGCGCCAGCCTCCCTGCACCTTGGAGAGGAGATCGATGCGGACAACATGGGGTTGTGACGGGAGGGAGCCCAGTGATTCCATGAGGTAGATGATGATAGAGACGATAGGCAGACTATCATCGCAGAGTTAGGCGTAGTGCTTCATATGGAAGCCATCCACAGGAGGAGGAGGAGGTGGAGGAGGAGGAGGAAGAAGGTGCGCAAGGCCTGGCCGTGGACTCGTGCAGAGGACTTTCTGGCATGGCCACGACCACACACCGCCTTGTGGGCCCCAGGATGGGCCAGGACAAGTTCGACATCGGAGTATGGCTGACGGCCTCCTATCTCAGAATTCCCCTCCCCTCTGCGTGGTTCGTCTCCCTCCCCGGAGGAGGGCGAGGAGGACGACTCGGAGGAGTCCGACGACGCGGTCAGGGCCGCGCTCCAAGGGAAGGCGGAGCCTGCCCAGGAAGCGGGAGCCACCCCTGTGGCCCCTCTGGCAATGCTCCCTCGGCCCTCCTCTGCTCTTCCCGTGCCCCCCCCTCTCCCCGTGCTTGTCCGTGTCCCCGCCTGCCCGCCTCTCTCCCTTTACCCCCCCCCCCTTCGCTTCCCCCCGATCCCCGCCGCGCCTCCCCCTCCCCCCCTTCACAACTGCACCGCATGAACGCTTCTCTACCTCCCCCCCCGAAGATGTGAAAAAGTGGTCCGCCCCCCTTCGCGTGTCGTTTTTTTTACGCACCGGACTGCAGCAGCTGTTTTTGTTCTTATGGTTTTTCGCAGTAAGTATGTTTTCCGTGCTTCCAGATGGTTCTCCCGCTGCAGCGGGGGCCTCATTTTCGGATCGGCGCTTTGCTCCCGTCGTTCAGAATGACACTCTCGCCCCAGCGCAGGCCACTTTGCTGGATCCGAGTCTAGCTTCTTCGTGGTTCGCCCCTCATTTTTCTCCTTCTCCGCCTTCCCCTGGTCCTCCTGTTCCTCCTGCTCCTTCCACTCCAGTTCCTGCGGCTGCTGTTCGTCTCGGCCCAGCGCGGACAACTTTTCTGAATCCGAGTCTTTCTTCCTCGTTGTTGCCCCCCTCATTTCCCCTCCGCCTTCCCGTGGTCCTCATTTTCTTCCCTATCCTTTAGCTTGAGTTCCTGCTTCTGCTGCTGTTCGTCCTCATCCTTTTCCTCCCGCTCATCCTCCTGCTCTTCCACCACCTCCTCTTCCTCCTCCTCCTGTGCACGCAACTACCCTTTCTCCGATTGCGCATACCACGAAGTGTTTTTTTCTGTGGGAGTCGCAGGTCGGCTATGACATGCGTCCGCGGATAATGAAGGATCAGCGCCATGGGAAGGGAGTGGAGGGAGGGAAAGGATGTCAGACGGGGCGCGAGCGCACCTAGCTTGTCCTTCTCCCTCGCCCCCCTGCTCCCCCCTGCCTCCTCTTCCTGCACTACTGCGGTCTTCTTCCGGCGCTCGACCCGCACGGCCACGGCTCCCTCCCACGCGTCGCGCAGGCCAGGCCACGCCCAGATCTCGTGAGGCAGCGCGTTCGGGGAACGAGCGAAGGCGCCAGACGTGTCGGAGAGGTTCTTCTCGGTGGCTTCAGACGTAGCCGTCATCGCCTGAATTAGCGAGTGAGAAGAGGGTGAATATGCGAAGGAGTCAGTCATTCAGACAGATTCAGTCAGTCAGTCAATCACTCGGTCGTCATTCAATCAACAAGCTGCGTGCAGGGCGACGCTCAAGCCGTCGGGGATGGGACGGAAGGGGGAACTGGGGAGGGCGATGGGGCTCGGATGGGGAGCAGGAGCAGCGAATGGGACTGGCGAGGTGGGCAGGGGTAGGAGGCAGTGCCCAGGGGAGAGGGATGGGGGGAGGAGAAGACGGCAGAGGTGGAGGAGGTTGGAGAGGATAAAGGGAGCGGAGGGGGACTGGGAGTTGAACCGGGGGGATGCGCCGCGCACGCGAGGACGGCGACGAGGAGGCGTCCGACGAGGACGAGGACAGCGAGGAGGAGGACCCGGTGGCCTGCCGCCTCAGCCCGGTGGCGGCGCGAGAAGCCCATGGAGGGCTGGGCTCTTCCGTTTCTCTGAGTTCTGACAGCGGGGCAGCGTTAGGGGGGGATAGTCGAAGAAGGAAAAAACGGCTCGTTCCTGGCTGAGAACGGGGCTGGAGGGCTGAGTTCCTCGTTTGGGGGGGATAGTACGAAAAAGCGGTATTAACACATCAACTTTCGACGCTCCGCGTGGGTTTCTTGGATCGGCGCCTGGGCCCCCTTGGCGGCGCCTCCAGCGCCGCCCCTGGCGCGCGGAGCGCGCCAGAGAGGGAGGCCCAGCGCGGATCCAAGAAATCCGCGTGGACCTTCAACAATTTATGTTTTATGCCGTTTTTTCTTCCTCCAGATAGGCTCGGGGGGGAACCTCTTCTGGGTTTTCGTGCGCTTTCGTCGGTTCTCGGCGGCTTTCCAGCCTCGGGGTGCTCCCCGGCAGCTGCGCCTTGCCGAGAGCCTTCTGGGGGTGCTCGGCTCGTCCCGAGCGGCCACCAGAGAGTCGAGTTACGACCCGAAAGCCGGGGGATTACGCCAGGGGCGATAGGCTCAGGCGGGATGCATCGACCCCTCAATCGTCCATGTGATCGCCGATGTGGGCCCGATAGCTCGCCCCGCCCAGGAGCGTGCGGACTCGCTGCCAGGTGCCTGTCGCCGATCTATTGGCGATGTGTGCGATGTGAGGCGACGATTGGGGCAATTAGCCCAGGGGAGAGCAATACATGTACTCCTGAGCGCCGATGATGCATGTCTTCGGCGAGGCACCCAGGCGAATACGTGTACCCATCGGTCGTTGAAAGTAGGTATTTTTGGTTTTCCATATTCCAATCTACTTTAAGCGCCTTCCTACTTCAATGATCCAGTGGCTTCACCTTCTCCGTCCTCTCAAGGGGGCGGACGGAACCCAGTCTTTTTTCAACGCCTTCCTACTTCATGTTTCTACCTACTTCTTCCGACCGATGGGTAATGCCCGCCCCTGGGCTATTCGCCCTCGTCGTCGCTGCCGAGAGCCGGCCCCCCCCCATCGCTCCCCCTCGGAGCCCCTCCGCTCAGCTGGTTCTCTTTCCTCGCGCGCCCCTCATCGATGACGTCCTCCACCCCTGGCCAGTGAGGCCCCTCTCCCTTGGGCCCGCGGCGTTCGCCGATGTCCGCGGCGCCAGGGCAGCAACGATATCTGGAGAGCGGCCTTCAGCCTTCGAGTAGGGGATCGACCACAGAATTGACTTAGCCCAGAATTAGTTATTTCGTCGAGTCTACGAGAAGTACGTGGCATGTTCGGAGATTCGACAACCATTCTACGTATTCTTGTCCGTAGATTCGACGAGCAAGCTCAAGTTTGGGGCACGTCAATTTCGCAGCCGATCCCTTACTCGAGGCCTATTCCGCCACTGCGCCCGGGTTCTGGACCAGAGGCCCTCTGGCGGCCTCTTGGGATCTTTTGGGGCGCTTCTCCTCAGTGGGAGGACCAAAAGGCACTGGGATCGCTACTCTCCAGCCCTCTCCTGTGGTGCGAACTGATCAGACTTTCGGGGCGACTCCAGTGCGGTGGCGACGAGGGCCTCCCCAGAGGCCGCCCAACGAGGGAAGACGGGGCAAGGGTTCGACCAACAAAACAATCGACACCACCCCCACCTACGGCCCTCCATGTTGCGCCACGGCCCATCGGGGAGCCGTAGCGTATGCCACACAGAAGCCCACGCCAGATCTCCTCGTATACGCTACTGAGCCCAGTGGGGCCGTAGGTGGGGTGGTGCCGTCTGTTTCCTGGTCGACGGGCAGCGGCATCGGTACCCTTTCCTCATCTGACTTGGGAGTCCCTTTGGGGGCCTCCCGCGCAGTGCAGCCTCGTCGCGGGCATTGCCCAGACGCGAGGAGCGCATGCGGCAGCCACGCGCGGCCTGCTTTTGCCCTGCGCCTGCTCTCCAAAGAGGCTCTCTGCCGCAGAGCGCGGGGCGTAGATTCCCAGGTCGACTCCACAGACAGTCGCGCGGCACTGCGCCATGGAGTGGGCATGTACTCAGAGGGGAAAGGGTAACTACCCATACCGCGACCCTTCGCCCGTTTTCTCCCTCTTGGGCCTACTGGGAGGCCCTCGTCGCCACCGCCGGATTCGCCTCGAAGTTCTGGTCAGAACGCAGCCCGGGAGAGGTCCGGGGAGTAGCGGTATCGGTACCTTCTGGTTTCCCCATGTGCGGTAGGTTCGTGTCATGTCGACGCGGCTGCGACCCCTGCGCGGGCGTTCAAAGTTGAACGCCGCCAGCGGCCCAGATTCGGCCGATATGGAACGATCTGGCGATCGAAGAGCTGCCGATCGTTCAAGATTGAACGATCCACGCGGTGTCAGGAACCAACGTAGGGGTCGTCACGACACGAACCTGCCGTGGGTCCTCAGAGTTCTGGCCACTCTGGAGCAAGTGTGGCGGGTTCTTCGTTCACTGGGGAGGTGACCTGCGCGCCATCTCGCTCGCTCGCTGCCGTCCCTTGCCGTTCGCCCCTCTCTCGCTCGCTCTGCTTCGCCTCTCGTTCTCGCTCGTCGTGCGTCCTTCTTGCCCCTCCGCGCTTCCCTTCTTCCCCATGCAACGCGTGAGTCCATCTCTGAGTGCTCCCTTCTCCTTCCTCCTCCGCGGCCGTCCTGTTCGTCTTTTCCTCTCTCCTGCATGCATGTTGCATTCGCCGACGCTCCATTGCGCGTACGGCGGCCTGCATTGCGTGGTGGTCCATCCGAAGTCTGCGGCGTGCAGCTGGCTTCGGCCCCGCCGCCACGCCCCTTCCTCGATGCCCCGGCGCCTCCGGCGCTGGGAGGCGCCGGTGACGTCGGCCACGGCAGCTGACTCGCGACCCCCGCCTCCTGCTAGCTCCCTCTTCTCGGCCAGCCCGATTGCTGCAAGCCCCGCAGTGGAGGCCGACTGCAGTCGTGAAGCATTTTCTATCTGTGTATAGTGCATCTCAAACATGTGTATATATAGTCTGTGTATATATACACATATTGATATAACGGACGTCAGGTCCACAGGCCTGGGGGCGGCCCACTCTCCCCGTCCCTGGCACCGCGCTTGTGCACCTGGTTGCTGGGGCGGAGATGGGGCCTCCGGAGGGCTCTCGGTCTCAAGAACCGTCCATGATGGTTCAGGTGGACAGCGAATGGACGCCAAGACGGCCCCAGAGGTCCACAAGATGATCCAACACATCCCAGTCGGTGCCACGATCGCAAGAGATGACTCAGTAAAGGGCTCCTGGAGGACACCAGACGCGGCCCCGAGTGGCAGCGTCAGCCGAAAATCAGAAAACCATTGGCATCCATAGAGCGAGAGCGCTCCATGGGTCCCGACGCCAGCTCGAAAGCACCCAAAGAAGCTTCCAGCAAGTCCCAGGGCGCCCCTGCAAGCGCCCCCCCCAGTCGCCCAGCAGAGCCCAAAGACGGGAGCCCCCGAGAATTAGTCGAGGGAGACCCGGGGAGGGCCCAAGACGGCCACGAGCAGCGCCCAGAAGGCCCAGGATGGCCCCCACATATTAGCCCAAAGAGGCCCGCGAGGAGCGCCCAAGACGGCCACGTGGAGCGCCCAGACGGCCCAAGAGGGCCCCCCTGGAGAAGACGACCTAAAAGCAAGACTGCCCCGAGAAGCCGTCACGAGCACCCAACAATCCCCAAGAGGGCTTCTTCAAGATGCTCTGAACGCGAGGCCAGAGCCAGCCCGGCCAAGAGAGCCTCAACAGACCCCTATGGTACATTTCAAGACGGCCCGGTTCACGCGACTTCTCCCCCTCTGCGCTCGGGGGTCGGTGGCGGAGGAGGAGAAGGAGGAATCGATGGGTAACAGGGATGGGATGCTGCTGCTGCTGCCGCTGATGATGATTGACGACGACGATGATGACGATGAGGATGATGATGCTGCTGCTGATGATGATGCTGATGATTATGATGTTGATGATACTGATGATGCTGATGATGCTGATGATGATGCTAATGATGATGATGCTGATGATGATGCTGATGCTGATGATGATGCAGCTGATTATGCTGATGCTGATGCTGATGCTGCTGATGATGGTGCTGATGCTGATGCTGATGCTGCTGCAGATTCTAATGCTGATGCTACTGATGCTGTTGCTGATGATGATTGTGGTGATCTGATTATGCTGCTGCTTCTGATGATGATGATGATGATCATGATGATGATGATTATGATGATGACGATGATGATCATGATGATGATGATGATGATGATGATGATGATGATGATGCTGATGATGCTGATGATGATGCTGATGCTGATGATGGTGATTCTGATGATGATGACGATGATGATGATGATGATGATGATGATGATGATGATGATGATGGTGTGTAGTGAAAGGGCAAGGAATACTGAGCAGGACGAGGGAGGAGGGCGGCGGCGGCGGCGGCGGCGGCGGCGGATGAGGAGGAGGAGGAGGAGGAGGAGGAGGAGGAGGAGAGGAGGACGATGAGCAGGAGGAGGAGGAGGGAGGAGGGAGGAGGAGGAGGAGGAGGAGGAGGAGGAGGAGGAGGAGGAGGAGAGGAGGAGGAGGAGGAGGAGAGGAGGAGGAGGAGGAGGAGGAGGAGGAGGAGGAGGAGGGAGGAGGAGGAGGAGGAAGAGGAGGAGGAGAGGAGGAGGAGGAGGAGGAGGAGGAGGAGGAGGAGGAGAGGAGGAGGAGGAGGAGGAGGGGAGGAGAGGAGGAGGAGGAGGAGGAGGAGGAGGAGGAGGAGGAGGAGGAGGAGGCGGAGGAGGAGGAGGAGGAGGAGGAGGAGGAGGAGGAAAAGGAGAGTTATCAGGAGGAGAGGGAAGAAGAGGAGGTTTACGTGGAGCGGAAAAATCCAACGGTGCATTGAGGATGGGCACGTCGGCAGGAGGACGGAGAGGCGGATGAGACGAAACGCGGAGAGAAGGAGGAGAAGGCATGAGGATGAGGAGATGAGGAGGGGATTCAGATGACCACGTGGAAAGGGATGAGCTCCCGCGGGCGGTAGCGACTGGGCTTGGACACCCGCCTCCCTTCCTTCTGTCTTCAGCCCGTTGTCCCTTCTCTTGCTCCACCCAGTCTCTGCTAGTCTGACCTCCGAGTGTTTGCACATGTGTCTCCTCATGGTGAGGCACCGTTGGGATAAGTATGAAACTTGTCCGTCTGTTGTTGGGTCGGTGCCCCGACCAGCGCTAGAACCTCAGCGCGCGAATTGTGCGCGCGTCTCTACGTATAGTTTGGTGGAAGCTCCTTCGTGTGCACCTTCTATTATCCCTTCCCTTTTGTCTTCTCATTTATTCCATGGTATACTGAAGCAGCGTAGTTCATTATGTCGTTGGCCATCCTTGCTCGTTTCGGGAGGAGATGCTATTTCTGTGGTGGCCCCAGTTCTTAGGGCCCATGGGGTCGTCTGAGGCGCCCGATCTCCTTTACATTGAGTACTGGATCGGAAGAGGGGCCTGGTTTCTGCGTTTCCTGGGGTCGCAAGGGTTGTCCGGCTTGCTAACACAGCGTAGAAATGCATTGTTTGAGTATCCAGATCGTACCGTTGTAGTAGAACGTAGCGCAGCGAAGCGCGGATACCTTCGACTGGACAGTGCTGTAAGACCTAGACTGTATGGCATCGCATGGCGCAGCAAAGTAAAGCAGATCTCACCATATCAGAACATCTCTCTCTTTCTCTCTCATTTTTTTGTCTTTCTCTCCCTCTCTCTTTCTCTCTGTCAGTGTCTTTCTTCCCCTCTCGGATCTCTAGGCTTTCTCGGTCTTTGAATGATCAAAGCAATGAGTGTCTCGATTCAGGAACTGGCTTACGCCTCCTCGCCTTCCTTCGCTTCTTCCTGCTCCTCGGTTCTCCTCCAGTGGACCCTCTCCCTGTTTCACCTGCTTCTTCCATAGCATAGCATAGCTCCAGCGCGATATGATCAGCAACATACTCTAGAGCACCGCACGATCATAGGATAGCAAAGAGCGAATGCCACAGCTCCCATCACCTGCATCATAGGACCTAGGTCATACCCTTGATCTTCCATTCAAGCTGCTGCACTTTCTCTCCGCCAGCGAAAAGTGGCATTCGTGCTGGTGATCGTGGTGACAGCCGTCGCCATGATAGTGGGGAGCAGCATGAGCAGTACCTGTGTTCAGAACTCCAGGACTGGATACCTCTTCGCCCTCTGCCTGCTGTGCCCGGACTCCCTCCCCCTCTTCTTCTGTGCCTGGATTCCTGTCCCCTCTCGACCATGATTCACCGAGCGCGTTCCACTACTCGCAAAGTGCCTACTCGCGAACGTCCGAAAAACACATGTCAGCATCGATGGAATGTATCGTAAATCCTCCACTGCAGATCCAGACCATCTGCGAGTAGTTATTCTGCGTGTGGTGAAACGTGCTTGTCGAATTATCGGTTTGCAGAGTGTCGCGTCCCCGCTGTTGCTGCTGGCTTGCTGCCGATTGCCGCTTCGAGGAAGTTTCGTCTTTGTTCTCGGACGACGACCTCGAGACTTACGGCGGGCGCAGACATGCTGCTGCTAGTCTCTCGTCTCCACTGACAGGGGGTCGCCGACAGGGCGACCAGAGAGCAGTGGGAATAAGAAGGGCGGAGGAGGGTCGAAGAGGAGGAGGAGGTGGAAAAGGATGAGGAGGAGGAGGAGGAGGAGAAGGAGTAGGAAGAGGGGGACGACGACGACGACGACGACGATGACAATGACGATGACGATGACGATGACAATGACGATGATGATGATGATGATGATGATGATGATGATGATGATGATGATTACGATGATGATGAAGATGATGACGACGATGATTATACTGATGATGATGAGGAGCAGGATGGTGATAATGTTGATGATGCTGCTGCTGCTGATGCTGACGATGATGCTGATGCTGATGATGCTGCTGCTGCTCATCCTGATGCCGAAGCTGCTAATGATGACGATTACGATGACGTTGATGCCGACGATGACGATTATGATGATGATGACGATGATGCTCATGATGATGATGCTGCTGGTGAGGATGCTGATGGTGGTGATGATGATGCTGACTATGATTGTGATGATGGCGATGATGATGATGAGGATGCTGATGACGATGATGATAATGATGATGACGATGAGGAGAATGGTGACGATGATAATGATGCTGATGCTGATTCTGATGATGATAATGATGATGATGATGATGTTGGTGATGATAATGATGATGCTGCTGGTGATTCTTGTACTGATGCTGGTGTTGACGACGATGATGATGATGATGATGATGAGGATGATGCTGATGCTGACGATGATGACGAGGATGGTGATGATGATGATGATGCTGCTGATGATGATGATGATGATGGTAACAATCAAATCATGATTATGATGATGATTATGATGCGGATAGTGATGATGATGCTGATGGTGATGATGCCCATGATGCCAACGACGATGATGATGATGATGATGGTGATGCTGTTGCTGATGATGATTCTTATACTGCTGATGATGGTTATGCTGCTGCTGATGATGATCCTGATGCGGATGAGGATAATGGTGGTGATGATGATGCCCATGATGATGATGATGATGATGATGATGATGCTGATGATGATCATGATGATGATTATGCTGCTGCTGATGATGCTGATGATGCTGGTGATGACAATGATGATGCTGCGGATGCTGACGGGTATGATGCTGATGGTGGTGTTGATGACGATGCTGATGCTGCTACTGAGACTGCTGCTGCTGATGCTGATGTTGCTGATGATGACGATGACGATGACGGGTATGATGATGCTGATGATGATGACGACTGGATTGGTGACGGGGACGACGACGACGATGACGATCCTGATTCTGTTGGTGGTGGTGATGATGCTGATGGTGATGATGATGATGCTGCTGCTGATTCTGATGATGATGATGATGACGACGATGACGGGTATGATGATGCTTATGATGCTGATGGTGATTGTGATGGTGATGCGGCTGAGTCTGAGGATGCGGATGAGGATGGTGATGATGCTGACGCCTATGCTGACGATGCTGATGCTGATGATGATGCTGATGATGCTGATGATGACGATGATGATGATGGTGATAGTGATGCTGATGATGCTGATGATGATGATGATGATGATGATGATGATGATGATGATAGCGACGACGATGCTTGGGTAGGCCATTGCGCGCCCTCCATGATGGTACCAAAACTGGTCCTCCCCACCTGGGCCGCCGACTCCCCGCGGAGGCCTTTTTCGGCAACCGTAGGGCGCCCCGCGAGGACAGAAACCGCGATGTTACGATCCAGGAAATGGTTCAAACAAAACAACTTGGATTTGGGAAAATGGGAGGAAACAACACGTCGAATTCGGAAAACATGAAAAAACAACAACTTGAATTTAGGAAAGGGATAAAACACAAGAGGTTGAATTTGGAAAAACATGGAAAACCATCAAGTTGAGTTTGGAAATGGAGAAAAAACAAGAACTGGAAATTTGAAAAACCACGAACGAACAACAAGTTGAATTCGAAAAGGTGGGGGAGACACAACACGTTGAATTGGGGAGGTTGGGAATATCTGAGGGGTAACATTGTTTTTGTCCAGGCGTGGATGTTGGAGGGCCATATATTTGATCGACCGATGACATTTACATAGGCGTGTATGTTCAACCTGTTATGCTTGAGGGTGCAATGAAGTGTGCCGATAGTCAATGAGGTTGTTCTCGCGGAGCACGGTCATTGCGGCGTTTTTTTCGGACGGGTGTGTTATCTGCGCGCGGCGCGAGGTCCCTCTGTCCTTCTGTCCTCCTCCTCCTCCTTCCCTCTTCCTCGTCTTCCTCCTCCTCCTTCCCCTCCTCCTCCTCCTCCTCCCCCTCCTCCTCCTCCTCCTCCTCCTCCTCCATCCTCCTCCTCCTCCTCCCTCACCCATTCTCCTCCTCCCTCCTCCTCGTCCTCCCTCCTCCTCCTCCTTCTCCTCCTCCCCCTCCTCGCACCGAGCAGATCAGCAGAAGGATTGCTGCCAGGATCGGTGATCAAGCATAATCGCGTGCGCCTCGGGCATGCCATTTTCGTTTGACCCCCCCCCCCCCTGAGGGAAAGAGAAACAAACTCCTCTTCCTCATCCTCCCCCCTTCCTCTCCTTCCTCTCCCTCCCTATCGTCCTCCCTCCTCCCCCCTCCTCAGTGGATGTTCTCGGAGTGCTGGTAAGGAGTGACGTTATCTTGCAGTGTCGTTGTTTTCATTGGCACCATAGCCATTTTGGCTTCCTTGAAGCGCATCCGTGCTGCATGGCGCGGGCCGAAGACTTGGCCGCGGCCATATTTCGCCACTCCGTTCCGAAACCAGACGATGCAGAATTTGGTTACCCGAGGTTGCGGTTTCTCTCGGAGCGGGCGATGGTACGTTGCATTCTAGAGGTGATTCGGCTTGGGAATGTGTTGCATCAGTCACCCCCCCAGTGGTGTGTGTATGTGCGCGTTTGTGTGTGAGTGTGTGCGCGCGCGTGTGCGCGCGTGTGCGTGGAGGGCGGGGGGGGGACGGGGCTCGCAAAGATGTTTCAGACCAAAGGTGACAGCAGGCGGTGGCCCACTGGACGAGTACGCCGTGGTTTCGGCAGTGCGTTCCAGTGGCAGTGGCTTGAGCACGGATCATATGCGGCAAACGCTGGGTAGTCTGAAGATCGAGATCCCGTCTGCGCAGACGTGGCACAACTTGGACTATTCGGTATTGCCGCGGGCTTCGAACGCAGGGGCGCCCCCTCCCCGGAGCCCCGTGGTCTGTGACTGCTGGGGCCCGCAGGAGCAGGAGGAGGAGGAGGAGGAGGAGGAGGAGGAGGGGGAGGAGGAGGAGAAGGGGAGGAGGAAGTGGAGGAGGATGACGATGATATATCCAGGGTAGCAGCAGGAGGAGGAGGAGGAGGAGGAGGGGGAGGAGGAGGGAGGAATATAATAGGAGGAGAAGGGGGGGAGGAGGAGAGGAGGAGGAAGAGGAGGAGGATGATGAGGATATATCCAGGATAGTTGGGGGGGGAGGAGGAGGAGGAGGAGGAGGAGGAGGAGGAGGATGAGGAGGAGGAGGAGGAGGATGGGGGGGGAGGGGGAAGGAGTAGGAGCAGGAGTAGCAGCAGGAGGGGACAAGGGTGGTTGCCCCTGCCCAGGTGTGGTCGAGGTTGAAGCTTCCAGAGAAGAGGCGCGCCCTTCACTCTGTCCCGAAGGTTCCGAAGGTTCCGAAAGCCAAGGCGGCCCCGCCCAGGCCTCTGCCCAAACCGATCCCGGGGCCGATGGCGAAACTGAAAGCAGTCGCGAAGGCAAAGGTGAAGGCAAAAGCAAAAGCCATGCTACGGCGCCCGATTGTGCGCATGAAGAACCGATTGGGACAAAAGGCCACGACAATACGGCAACTCAGGAAAGAGAACAAGGTTTTGCATGACAGGTGTGCGATTCGCGAAATGCATCGGCTTCCTTGGCTTGCAGCTCTGATGCCATGCCTCGCGCCCCCTGCCCTCTGCCCCCTTTTCTCTTTCGCCAAACGTTGGGCGGCGGTTGGGGGCGGGGCGCAGGCGGGCCGTGCGTTGGGCATTGGTCGGAGTTGCGAGCCGAGGGGATCAGTGCATCCCGCTGGGGTCGCACATAGGGTCGAACGTCTCGAAGCCGAGGTAAAACTTCTCAGGAAAGAAAACAAAGAGAAGGGGTCGTACGTCAAACACGCCAAGAAGCGCCGCAAAACATCCACCAAGTTCGTCGTCAGTACCCGAGGTGGATACGAAATGGCGCTGAAGCGCAATCTAGGCGGGGCGGAGGGGCCCTCAAGTTCACGCCTCACTCCAATATACCAACAATCCCACCCCCGTTGTTTGGACTTCCCCGAGGGGGGGTGGGCCTTAGACCAATGCCCCGGGGGGGTCGCTCGAGGGCACAGCGGTTGCGCCGCGCTGCTCGTCGGGCTCGAGGCGGAGGTCAAGCGGGGCGCCTTGACGAGATGGGAAAGAATCCTAGCTCGGTCTATATTGACTCGTTCCAGATTGTGGTTTGAAGCGCAGTACGAGATTCAGAAGCATCATTTGACTCATGTGGATGAGGATAGCGAGCAGCACGAGGGGCAGATGTCGAGGTCGTTGTTATATTCGATACAGTGCGTGCGAGGTGATGCGACTAATAGCGCAGTGGGTTCCCATGCCGAGAAAGCTCACACTCTGGAGCTGAGCACATATTTCCGTTTCCTTGCGGGTGAAAGTTCTTTTCGGACCAACTGGGCCGATTTGCAGAAGGTGCCGCTCAATTGCGATTCGAGTTTGCAGCGTTCGATTTTCTTAAAGCAGGTCTCATCGCTGGGCTCCAAGACGTGGGTCGATTTGGCTCCTGATTTCGCTGATGCTCCGAGCCCTGGTGAGCCGCTGAACATATCTGTTTGGATGTTCACGACGGATGCTGGTGGAGACCAGGCGCGGCGCAGGGTCCGCCCAACCAACCCCGTGACACTTATATGTAAGTTTTCCCCCTCCCTCCTCCCGCCTC